AAGATGGTGTAAACCTGACGGTGCAGCAGCGAATGCCAGCGCTCCTGACAGCACACGTGATGATGATCGTACAGGAAGTCATACTTCACCTGAGGAACACAGATAAGAGAGTAAACCTAACTGGTATTCATACAGAGCATGCATGACTTTAAAGGTGCCACAAGCTGTTTATTTTAGAGTAGGGATGGGCGATAAAACTATATGTGACTCTGGAGCACAAAACCAGTCATAAGGGTCAATTTTTAGAAATTGAGAAATGTATGCATCATCTGAACGCTGAATAAATAAGCTTTCCATTGATGTATACAATATTTGGCTGAAATACAATTATTTGAAAATCTGGAATCTGAGGGTGCATAAAAAATAAAAATATTGAGAAAATCATCTTTAAAGTTGTCCAAATTAAGTCCTTAGAAATGCATATTACTAATCAAAAATTAAGTTTTGATATATTTATGGTAGGAAATGTACAAAATATCTTCCTGGAACATGATCTTTACTTAATATCCTAATGATTTTTGGCATAAAAGAAACAAAGATAATTTTGACCCATACAATGTATTGTTGTCTATTGCTACAAATATACCCCAGCGACTTAAGACTGCTTTTGTGCTCCAGGGTCACATATAGTCAGTTGCATATGTTTATTTAGAGCCTTTTTCAAGAGTACTGTCAGGTTATTTATACATAGCACAAACATTTTTGGTCCAAACAGATGCTTTTTAGTGGGATCTGGCAACACTGGTATCATATGATCTACATGGTACACCGTGTAAATACAACACATTACGACATTATTTGATGTCCAAAAAAAAAGCACTTTTTGTTAGTGGGAATACAAATAAACAGGTGCTAACTTCGTTTTTTTTTTTTTTGTAAAATATTTCTACAATAATCATTACAAATGATACAAAAATGACACTTTAAGTCACATTATAGGTTACTGCTGAAGAGCTTGTTTACAAGAATGGGAAATTCAGATTAATGGCAGGCTGAAATGTAATTAACCTAAGTGCTATTTTTTATTTAATATTATTATTGTTAATAGCATAAGCGCTTTGTGAATAATTTATAATATTGTATTTATTATTTTCTTTTATATTATCTTCTATTTAAAAATGACCCTTTCAAGAAACATTTTTTTTTTTAATATATATATAAAACGGAGAGTTCCGGTGCTTGATTCTGATTGGCTGAGCCACGTTCGAAGCTGTTGTAAATTACTCTACAAACACACACCTTTGTTTACTTCTGTGTTGCTCGGCAACCACTTTGTTGGAACCACAACTCTTTCTGAGGAACTACATTGTTTGGTGGAAGAATACTGTTTTTATTAATATCATTACACTTTATTTGTTCTGTTTTATTTTGTGAACCCTTACTACGTATATGGAATAACCGTTTTATAAAAGCAATAAGCCCCGTGAAGCCTTGGTTTACAGTGAATTTATAACAGCTAAGGGGGTTTTAGACTCTGTTTCGTGTCGTAACAACACACCTCAGCTGTTATAAATTCACTGTAAACCACGGCTTCACGGGGTTTATTGCTTTAATCAGTCATGGTATAATAATAACTTTTAGGTTTTTCCCCCCTAAATTTAAATTTTGATTTTGAACTTAAAGCAGCAGTATGTAAAATCAGACATCTAAAGTATGACAGAATCACTGTGATAATTGGAGATAAATTTCACACCATCCATGTACATATTTGCACATGGTTTGATTTCTGTGGATACATCAAAACGTGGCTCAGAATCTCGTTCAGTACATTCACGACAGGCACGTTTTTGGTCTCTTATCCTTCATTCATGTCCATCTGCGGTCCCTGACGCGTGGGAAGGTCTCATCCAGATTAGCAGTCGGTGCGTCTGTGACTTTACGTCTTTTCCCAGCGATGGGCCGATCTCTCTCCTCCCACAGAGGCACACCATCACAGGCACAGATCTGCTTGGGGTTTTGAAGCAAGCCGGCGGAGCGGGCGATGATTGCACAGGCCAGCCTGAGAAAGCAGCGAGAGACAGCGGACGATAAGCAAACACACACGGTCCACTGAAGGACATCAAACAGCAGTGAGAGAGCTCTGGACGGACTGGGATTTCTGCAGGAACACATACCAAGAGCGCTGGATGATGTTAAACAGCTCAGTCTGTTTGTATTACACACACAAACACTATACAAGAAGCAGCCTGTCTATCTAATGTTTTTGTCTGGATAAGAATGTCCTTCACCTCTCTCCAGAGTTTCCTGTTATTCTGGACAGCGGGTGATTCCCACGCCCCAAATCATCCTCCCCAGAATCCACCACCAGAGATCGACCAATCACATCGCACACCTGCCAGGAGACACATGTGACCGCATAACACTGCATAACACAACCAGAGACTAAATTACCATAGAAACCGGCTTTGGTGAAAAATTAAATACAGCATGTAACTCAGATCCAGTGTTGTTTTAGTATGACTGATATGTGACCCTGGAGCACAAAAGCAGTCTTAAGTCGCTGGGGTATATTTGTAGCAATAGCCAACAATACATTGTATGGGTCAAAATTATACATTTTTCTTTTATGCCAAAAATCATTAGGATATTAAGTAAAGATCATATTCCATGAAGATATTTAGTAAATTTCCTACCGTAAATATATCAAAACTTAATTTTTGATTAGTAATATGCATTGCTAAGAGCTTCATTTGGACAACTTTAAAGACGATTTTCTCAATATTTAGATTTTTTTGCACCCTCAGATTCCAGATTTTCAAATAGTTGTATCTCAGACAAATATTGTCCAATCCAAACAAACCATACATCAATGGAAAGATCATTTATTCAACTTTCAAACGATGTATAAACCTCAATTAAGAAAAATTGACCCTTATGACTGGTTTTGTGGTCCAGGGTCACATATACTTTTGTAGTTTTAGTTAATATTTTTAATCCGTTTTTTTTCTTCTTCTATATATACAGTAATATATATATATATATTGTATATTTTCTGTTTTCACTTTATTTTCAAGGTCAAATTTTAGAATATTTTTTGTGTTTTGGTCATTATTATCATTATTTAATACCATGTAGTATAGATTTTATCTCAGTATTAGTTATTTTAGTACTTCAAGTTCAACTAAATGAAAATCAGAAATGTTGCCTTTGTATCTACCTTAAAGGGGTCATATGATGCTTTTTTAAAGATCATT